CACGACGGCTGCTACTTCGACAGGCACGAGGATAAACCAAATGCCTCCAAGGCTCAAAGCTATCAAGGGCAGGTGGAGAGCCCAACTGCTGCGCTGGGAGTTGCGAGAGAAACTCAGGTCTTCTGTGGGCTGGGCTTTCAAGGGAGGCGCAGCGCAATTACAGGCGAGGACACAGAAAGGGATGTCACGACGGATGCAAAGCATCAGGGACCTCATGGACTCTTTGTTATTTTGGGGAAGGAAAGGGGATACATTCACACGCAGAGCCTTTTGCGGTAACAACACTGTTACCATTTCCCACGGGAAAAGGGGGAAGGGGAGAGGATGGGCTGAGCTTTATAATACTGCCTAAAGTAAAGGTATTAAGCTGAAAAAAAATGACAGGACAGTTTTGAGAAAGGCAGATAAGATGAGGCCCCAAGAGATCGTGTTCCCTGGGAGATACAGAGCCAGATTCAGGGAAGGGAAGGGACTCCACTGGTGTACCGGCAAATGCCCATTGCTAAAGGCTGCTCACTGGGCTTGCTAGGCCAGCAGCACAAGACAGACAGACAATCATCCTTTCCTAAGAAAGCATTTGCTGCCAGTGGTCTTCAGCCTTTACCCCTGCTTTTTATGTTGGTACTGTTAGCGATGTAGACTCCTTCCTACCAGCGCTATGAGCAGTACTATGCTTGTGGGCATGGAGAGCCCCACCATCCCCACCTTGCAAGGGATGTCTATATTCAAAACTGCAGGAAGAAAATCCCTAGAAATACTCAATTCTTTTTGCAGTAGTTTAAGCCACACCCCAGCTTTAATACAACTTTTTTTTTTTTTAAACAGATAAAAATCACATTCTCTCAGCTCAGAGTTTGATACCCAAGGATATACCCGATTCTCTACCCCCACCTCGCAACCTTTCAGTTCAGTTTCCCTTTCTTTCCTCAAGAGGATCACAAAAAATCCATAGTGAAACTTGGGCAACGAAAATTTGAGACAGATAGAGAGAAACGCACAAAAGGTTAAAAACCCTGAAATAGCACACTGCATAAATACCAATTTTTAAAACTATTGCAGGTTCACTACTCCCCAGTGCAATTAGTAACGCGTTATGAAAGCACTAGCCAAAATCTCATTTTTGAGTCAAAACTTTTCTTTGATTGACTCGTGCGTTGCACACTCCTCACCCACGTATCTTTTTGCAAAGGACAATACTGAGGTGCTTTGTGTGAGAACAGGTTTTAGCTGTAGTGATTGCAATACTCAAACCTGCATGAAAAACCACCATGAAGCCAGACCTTGCATCAGGGATGGGCCTCAAGCATCTCTCTGGGCTGCAGGCAGCTCTCCTGGGATGAAAACATCTCTCTCAAAACATGCAAAACCCCTGCTTAGAAGACCTTGGAAAACCATGCAGTAACTGAGTCCACATAAATAAATACCGGTACTCAGCAACTGCCCGTTGCTCTGCGTTACTCGACAGTTCATTTTGCTGGCTTTGACATTGAAAAGCTGACCGCTTTTGCACCAGGCTTAGGAAGGTAAGTGATTATTTACAGCCCAGAAAAAACAATCAACAAGAAAAACACTTGGCACAGCATTCCTGCCCTAGGAAGTTAGAGGATATAAAAAAAACTTTAAAAAAAAAGTGTGAGGCAGGGGAACATCAAGCATGCATAAGGTGATAGCTTATAACGTAGGCCCACACAGAGCGTGACCCTCGTGAAAAGATCAGCCCTAAACTGATAGCGTGCTCTGTTAATCTACGTGGCTACGTTTCCTAGCGAGCTGCTAACGTGAACGCAGCCCTGCTGCACGCTGCGCCAGATGGGCTTCGCAGCGTTTTAGCCATATACGCTAGAATTAAAAGCCTGACGTTACCGTTCCAAACTTCATTGTGTCCTTTCTCAAAACGAGATTTTGGAAGCTTCTTCTTAAGGGGGAGGTTTCTACTATTTGGACAACTGCAGTAATCTATGTGGAATTTTAATGTGGGGCTAAAAAGTGGTTCATCAGCACATTTTACAAGAGAAAAGAGAGCAAATTGCTATGTTAATGGAAGCAAATCAAGTCATGCTAGCAGAGGAATATTTACCGCGAGAGAAAAAGGCAATTAATTTATGCCATTTTGATCAAAGAACTGCTTGCTAATCGGGATGCTCCCTGCTGAATTTTAAACGGTTTCATACTGTTAGGAGAGTCACATGATAGTTGGTAGCTTGAGCGTGCGGAAATACGAACTCTTCTCTTATCTTATCCTTAGATACCCAGAGCTACGGAGAGGAGTCTAGTTGTTTCACCAGATTTGCATTTCAGACGGCTTAACTCGCACTGCAGACAAAAACTCTGCATCCTACAGAAAACCACAGTCCAAAGGCTGGATTTTTTTTCCCCCAGCTAATTAAGGTAGCCAATTAGAAGGGACGCTATAGGCTGCTTAAATGAGCAATGGATGGAAAGAGGCGGTTTGTGCATTGCTTTCCCAAACTAAGAGCAAAACCCATTTATTTTGTCCATTTGTGGAACTGTGTTTCTAGGGACATCCTGAAGAGGTTCACTGCTCCCTGCGGCTGAGCAATGAATTTCTAATTGCCCAGTAACCACAGAGAGCGCAAACAAGACAGGTTTCTCCCCATACTCAAGAAGAATCAGGTATCCCCCCATATCTCAGCTCTGAATAATTCAAAAAAAGGAATGCAATAACTCAGGCTAGAAAACCAACGAGCAGCACCCAGATTAAATACAGCAGAGAGCAGGTGACAGGCTTTGTTCTCAAGCACCTCATTTAGAGCCTAAAAATGGCATTGCTTCCAAATGGAGAAACTATGAATATGAAGAGACAGGCAGGCAAAGCCTGGAAGGGATGGAATGCAATTTATTGAGAAACAGCCTCTGAGCCCCAACCCAAAGACAGTTAGATTTAAGCCTAACGTTCTTTTAAAAATATATTTAGCTCCCAAGTCAGCTCTCAGTTTCCTTACAGGCAGCCCGAGGGGAGAGACGGGCTTCAGCAATATCAAAAAGGTAGATCTCCACCACCTAGAAATTTCCACATTTTGAATCCGTGGGCAAGGGGGAGAAAGTAAAAGAGGGTATCAGATTTTACTCTGGAGCAGCTGGGGGCGAGGGAGAACTGTTAGTTCCCTGCCACTGCAGTCACCACGGGCTCAAATCTTACCGTTTGTAGGAGGGAGAAAGCTTTTTAATTTGTGAATGCATGCACACCCCTTGGCACGGGGATGCCTGCTCAGCAGCGTGGGGTGACTTACCCACGCAGAGGATGTTGAAGCAGAAGCCCTGCGACGTTGACTTGTTGACCAGCTGGTCGGGGAGGCTGTCGAAGCCCACATGGCCGGAGAGGGACAGGTTCCTGAGGTCATCGTTCTGCAAGGACAAGCAGAAAGGCACGTCACAGGGAAAGCGAACAACAGCTCACAACAAACGCCCCTGCCGGGGAGTAGGGCTGTGCCAGGCCTTAGGAGGAAGCACGGAACGATGGAGGAGCTGGCTGGAGACGGGAGCTTCCCAAACCACAGAGTCTGGCCAGCTCTCCCACAGAGCACGCAACGGAGCAACGCAGGTTGCAACGTGGCCCTGGTTGCCACACCAAAACCAGTATTCCTCATGGAAACCAGTGCAGGCAGGTGGAGAGCCAAGCTTGTGCTCTCCTTTGCTCAGTTTGGCAGAGGAAAAAAGCAGCTTTCCCAAACTCACTTTATCCTTACAGCAGCAGGAGGGAAATAGGACGCTTACGGTGCACTATTTTGCTACAGCCACTGTAGGACATAACTTACATTGCTGAAACAACACCTCTAAAGCCAGCTAAATGCCTTTCCGGCTTTTACAGACCTCGGCCGGAAGGAAGAAAAGCGTACCTGCAGCTCTGCAGATGGTGTGCTTTACAACCAACCTCATCTGACATGAGATGAAAAAGCAGGGTGCCATTTCCAGTCTTTCTTTCACGACCTACCAACCCTGCCACGCTGCCTCTCTACATCTTTAGGAGGAAAAAGCCAAGCCAGGCACCCCAGGCCCCTTTGCAGTCACCCCTCTGGACCCGCTCCTCTCATTCAGGCTGCCCAGGGCCATGAGCTGGCCACACTGAGGACCCAAGGCTGTTGCATCAAGGGTAGCACACACCTCGCAGGATGGAGGCCTGAAACACCTCCAACACATGACATGATATGATACGATGTTAAGGATTTTCCACAAGAGCTGTATGGTAATTTACATATGAGCTTAGAGAAATAAGCCAGTTTGGTCCTCTCCCCTGGCGAGCCACAGTTACACCAATGCCCCAAGCACAGATTTTTAAAAACAAACAAAAAACAAAAACAAAAAAAACCTTGCTGTGCCAGGAGTGGCTCCACTGTTATTTCACATAACCTCTTTTTCCACAAGAGGTTTGTCATCCCCAGCTTAAGATAGCTACCTTTCCCCAATGCCAGACACTGCCAGCCGAGTCACTCCACAGGAGTTATACCTGTTCAGCTAAACTACAGCCTTGGGGAACCTCAGCGTGAGGTCTGTGGGCTTTGGACCAGGCATAGAAAAAGATGTCTCTAGTTGTCAAAATAAGAGTCAACGGCAGAGGAGGACTTCCTGCTCTCTGCGCAACGGCTGGGCGTCCCCGCTTCCCTCCTCAAAACGCGCAGCCCCGCCGCGCTGGTGCGGCTGCAAGAACACAGGATCTTTAACTGCCAAGTCCCTCGGCTAACCTGCTTGAGGCTGATGGGCTGGCCATCGTTTGCAGGGAGAAGGAAGCCACGCAGGAGCGAGCGCTCCCGAAAACGCCCCTCAGCTGTTAACAATCTTTCAAGCCTGTACCATCACCATATGCAAGAGAGGTGGAGCAGAGGCAAAGGGCTCTTTTCTGCCATGCTGGCACGTGGAGCTTGGCACTCGTAATTGACGTTTTAATCTTTTCCTTCGCATCCTAACCAGGCCTACCTGAAGGCTTAAGGCCAATATATCAGACTCTTCACCTCCAGCCCTCCGTGTACGAGAAGAATATTCATCGCCACAATACACAAGGCGAGCACAAGGTGATTAAGGGATGCTACCTTCCTGCCTCCTGTTGGGTAAAAAAATAAAACCAAAAAGACCATCACCCCCATTTACCCATGACAGTGATGTTCCTGTAAAAGCCCCAGTCAACAGAAGGAGAGCCTTGGATTTGTGCACGACGTGAATGGGTTAAATCGAGCATTTGAGACATTAGCATTTTTAAAACACCAGGGCGTTCGGGTTTATGATTAACCGAAGGGAGCTCAGAGTAAGTCCCAGGAAGCAATAGGCGCCCATGACTCACAAGCTCCACAGAAAGCGGTGGGTGTTCAGCTTCCCTCAGCACAGCTCCAGTATCTCTTTCC